AGAGATTTTATTGAATCAAGAATAATGGAGAAGAGAGATATTACAATAGATCCTATAATTCTAGTAATCTATTTTCTCACACCATAAAATTGTATAGAAGAGCCTAATATTTATAGGGAATAAGTAGGGGGTGTCCAAACTCACCTAGTAGAGTTGTTGATGAAGTAGGATACCACAAAATTGAGTCCAAAACAAATTTTAATTCCCAATGGGCTTCCAAAATAGAATTTCAATATGACATAGGACTCCAATATATTTCAAATTTGAATTCTTCATTACGTGCACTTCAATTAGAATTCTTCAATTACTTCAACTACTTCTACAAGGATTTAGATCACACCCAAATTCTAACAATAACGTACATTCCAGGGATGCTCATCGAGTAGACCGTACCAAATGCCTTAAAATAAGTGTACATATATAATACAAATGTCATACATATGTGGGATATATGTCCCTACATTAATTGCATTATTGTTCCTAAAAAATACATTTGCAACAATATGCAATAAAGACTAGAGTACACTGATACATCTTGTGGTAAATAGATAAGAACTGATCTACTGTCTTTATTTACACCCAGGAGTGTTGAAGTTGGGAAATACTATGAACTTAATGGATAAAGGAGCAATATTTATGGGAGAATTTATATCACGACGAACCGGAGATAAACTCGGGACATCTCCTCTTTCGGTGAGTTGCAGTGCCTGTCCATTCAACAACATGGTAGTGCTTTGAAGGTTCTCAGCCTCTGGAGTTAAATGATATTCTTCTCGGAAAAATCTTTCCTCTGATGCTTTGTCTCCGACCCAAGAAATTGACCTCTTAAGACTGTGTGTAAAAGACTTTTTCCTGGTATCTATGCTCTCTTTCAAGTGCAGTTCTGTATTGCTAGTGCATTTGACGTCAACGTTGAACGTAGTTTGATTGCTTAGGTTGATCAGAAGTAACGTTACACCAGCCTGGAACAAGGAAAAAGCAATTAGTGGATTGGGAAAGCCTTTGTAATACTGTCCTGTCCTCTTCAATCCTCCTTAAGCAAACAGCTAAAAAGTGTAAATTTCATTGCATATTGTCCATCCCCATCCATAAATTTAAAAGGAACAAAACCGAAAGGACAAATAAGAAAAGAAATCCCAAAAGGTGGTTCATGAAGATGTAGAAAATTCAGATGTAAAGGTCTTTGACCATGAAATAACGCAGATTCCTATAGCGTAAACCAAGGACGGGATAACTATTTCCAGATTGCAGTGAATCCTTTGATCATCAACAGAAAATACAAAAAAAAAAAAAAATGCATAGTATAGACACGAGTGATTCAAAAACAAGTAGCAAAGAACAGAACAAAGAGCATTCTACTGCTATCGGTTAATTCTATTACTGTATAAGACATTTCTAAGACTTGGCTCAGCACTGAACACACAGAATTGAAGCATGAAAAAGCAGACAATTCACGTCTTGGGCATGATAATGTAATTGATACACTTAAGGCCGTCAAAGTGGATATTTGGGAGTAATTTTAGGGAATTATTGCTTAATCTCGTGTAAATTGTTGGAAGGGGGCCAATGTGATATGATTTTGAAGATGAAGGGTCTAAATTGCCATTACAAGGGACTTGAGCTGAATGGAAAACTGAAACGAGGATCAAAATGTAAATATTGAAAAGAGGTTCTATCTTGCGATTCGCAAATTACAATCTCCTTCTTGGTCGCAGGGCTTATTTAGCTGTACCATGCAATCCCAGTGCACTGCATATTACGAGTTCTATATGTAAATATTTCCTTCGCCACATCATCCACATACAAATTTGAAAGTACAAGCATGAGATTTGTTGTATTATATCAAACATAAAAATGTGTGATATACAATGTTCTTACCCTTTCTTTTGAACAATGAGCATAAGTGCGCAAATACGGGGATCCATGGCTGAGAACATCGAGCACTCCTTTTCCCATAAGCTGATGCCAAAGAAGTGCGCTGCATTGTAGAAAATACTTGAATTAGAAATACTTTAGATTTATCTCAGTGGCCATAAACGAGAAGCTTATCTAATTATGTAGTCATTATCCTTACCTGTAATAATCAGGATTGGGAATAAATGTACTTGCGTTAAGAAGTCCATAGTTTCCACCAATCAAAGTTTGCCTACAATAAACTTTAGTGTCGTACTTGGCAGCCATTCCAAGCTGATCTAGATACCTACATTCCATACACAGATGAAGATGTTATCTTTTCTCCAAGAATCCATTTGGCTAAGCTTAAAAAATTTACTTAAAAGTTAAAAGCAATTATTAAAATAAATATTTTTTTGATTGATCGTATTTAGACATAAATAAGCTTATTTGACAATAGGTTAAGAGATACCTTTGAAATAAGTAACTTATTTCCTTGAAAATAACTTAGCCAAAAGAAACAAAAAATCAAAAGTAACTTTTACTTATTTTTTAAGCTTAGCAAAACATGCTCAAAATCATGCATACAGAATCTTGATCTCTTCAATAGGAAGCATAATTAGACTTTATGAACTGTACGTATTGCAAGAAAAACAGAAAATTTACCAAAAGCTGTCAACAAATGTGTCAGATACGTGAGGACCACCACTGTTGTAGGCACCCCCTGATTCGCCAACCCAAGCAGAAGCCCAAGGACCATTCATTTGAATGGAGAGCGAAAGATTTCTGAATGTGGCAGATATTTTATTCAAGTGATCAGGATCCAGGATTTTATTAATGAGATTGTGATCATTCCCTGAAATGTGAAGGGGTTACTAATCAGAACTTTTGCCTGTACTTTCAGGCACTGTCTTACACACAAATAATTGATGACGTTACTTCATGTTAATAAATATTTGGAAAACAGAATATTATTCTTATCATAATGCAATATTGAAATAGCTTTTTCTATCAATTCTTGTTAAGAAATGAAGAACAATTGGCAGGACTTTTGTGCACACTTCCCTGCACTTCATCTTCACAACCTTAGAACTGAACAAAAGAATCTAGTGGAGACTGGAGATCAATGAAAAACAAATGGACGAGCCACATCTGTAGTTGTCAATGCATTTTCTGACATGTAATTTTATATTCGACCATGATCCTAAAAGGGAAATTGAATGGAATATATAACACTTTGCCATTTATAATCTTATGACGACATAACTTTACCAAGTGTTTGCCGGAATAATCAATACCCAAATGCAATGAAGAGATTCAATATAGAGTTTTGCTTATCTTCACAAATGTGCAATAAATAATTTATTACTTTGACAGTGTCAGGAATATATTTAAGGTCAAAAGACTCGCTGAATTGAACACATGACAAGTTATTACTTATAGTTAAGAGCCTTAAGACTGAGTTTATAGTGACAAACAATAAAAAGTTACAGTTTTATTGCAGAATCAAGATTGATTTACCAACTTTTGGATCTTGCAATGATATAAATGCACAAGAACCATGATAACTGCAATGATATAAATGACAAGAAATACCAACCTGGACCCAAATTATATATATGATGTGTCAAAGCATTAACAACACGTGGACCTGAAACCTCAAGTAGCTGTTCAAACCACGACTTATCATAGAACCCTCCTGGTGCCAAGAGAGCAGGTTTTGGCTGGAAGTTCGTATATAATTCGTCTATGATAGAATTTAGATGTACTAAATCTTTTCCATACTGCTCGACACCAACACTTGCACCTATTCCCTTGCCAGACAATTCGTTACCTGCAGCATAAAGGACAAGAAGAAAGTGAGAAAAATAAACCTTTCTAGTTCACAAAGTCGAGAAATCTATAATTGACTAAGACCATGTTTGTCTAAGCATAAAAATATGTCACTCTTAGTAACTTTTTTCCCCAAGAATAATACAAAAAGGTACCTTTTGAAGTAAAAAAGAACTTATTTTGAGAGCAATTTTCCCCTAACTTAGTTTCAATTTTGATCAATAAAAATATATTCATTTTAGAACTTACTTATTAGTTGTGAGTAAACTTTCTGAGCTCAGTCAAACAAGCTCTAAGCAATCAAATGTCAAAATACTATTACCAAATTCCCAAGAATCTATTCGATAACCCTTGGAGATAGTGTAGTTAATGAAATCATGAGCATTGCTGGAATCCCAATCTCCCTTCCAAGAACCTCTTCTGACATGGTGCCTCCCACGTAATGCATTCAAGCCAAATGTCACCACAGCTCTGCAAAGACATCAAAACTGAACTAGATAGGATTTAAAGAATCATGATGGTTTCTGTGAACCGAACAGAAAACTCAATCATAAACAAATTAATTTAAACCCAACTACTATATTCTCCAAACTCATTTCAAACCCAAGTGCATGCATGGGAGAAAACTCGTGTAGCCAAGATTTCAATAACTATGTGGACACCTAAAGGTCACTCTTAAAGAGATGGAAAAGTGTGCCGCATTGATTAGGTCAGAACGTGGTTCGTAAATTTTTCAAGAAATATGCCAGACCACAAAATATCATTTGTCTATAAATGACTATAAAAGAGCTACAAATGACAAGCCAGCCCATCTGAGTTTTAGATTTAACACAGACCTAAGGAAGTCTTCGAGTTCAAACGAAACAAAATAGTTATCTTAATTGTTATTGGGTCCGTTTGTAAACTGCATGGTTAAGGTATTGAGAGTTTTCTTTGGATATTTCCCAATGTATAGGTGAGAATGTTGTTTTTTAAGGTAAATAAATATCCTAATTCGATTGTCTCGATACTTACAGTTCGGTTCGTATCGACTCAAGAGTTATATTCCAAGAATTGTCAGCCTTCGAGTTAAAAAACGAAACAAAAGAAAAGGAGGATCTTAATTGTGACTGGTTTTTTTACCTTTGATGGAATTTAAATATTAAAAGAAACCTTTGATGTGTTAAATTCTGTGAATATTTGTCCAAGGATACTGTTAGCAGTTGCATCGTTTCTTTATTCTGGGCTGCAAGTCATTGGATTCATAAGGACAGAGGAGAAGTATAGAGAAAAAAACAAATATTAAGTACACCTTGAATTCTGAAGCCCAAAGAACACAAAAAATTATACCATGTTTTGCCGTCCACTAAATTTACATAGATGGGAGTTTTGTTTTTTCATTGGAATTTTAGATAGGCATTCAAGATCTCTCCATTAATTCAGCCCTTGTTTGGCCCCCATTATAATGAGAATTTGGGAAAAATGTATTTTGGAATAGTAATTTTTAATGGGGGCCAAACAGGGGCTTATTCTCCGTGATTTTTCCTTCTGCAGCGGATTTTGCATGGACATAGATCGACCAAACTAGGTAAGTATTGTTGTGTTTTTAGATTAAGTGTTCCATGGTCCAAGCTCAGTCCCCCACGAGTGACATGCTCACCATTATATGTAAATGAACATTGAAAACTGGATCTTACCCGGTCATCTTGAACAAGTTATTCAGCTCATCCCATCTTTTCATATGTAAGCATCCCATTGAAAATCCAAATAACCCAGATTTATCCTTCCCAAATTGTTTGCATGGAGTCTTTAAATTCCCCACTTCATAAAGTACTTGGTCTTGCAAAGAACCACCAAGTCTTAATCTCAAATTCTTGAAAGCTGTTGAGCAACAAAATGAAACTCGAATTTACTAAAGCTAAGGTATAATTTAGGAGTACACAAAATTTCAATTTCCCTGTTCTAGTGCACATAACGGAAACATTTTCGATGATGAAGCAATGTGAATATGCAAACCTTGAATGGCATTTGCAAGAAAAGGGTGAGACAAATCCTGACAATTAAAGCAAAATAAAAATGAAAAGGTATCTAAATCAAATCCTCAGTAAATATTAGAAAGCCAAAAAATTCTTACGAGATTTATAACGGATGAAAATTTCCACGGGCATTGGTTATAGTTACACTTATCATGAGGCCACCAATCAATTGTAGCACATATATAATTATCGTCTGTTTCAGCAATAGTTGTGTTTGCATCGATGACAAGTCTTGCATCGTCCAAATCTTGTGCCAAAATTGATGTTGAAAAGACTAGTAGTAAGACGAAGAACAATGCGATTTGAAATCCCATTAATTGATCAAATATAGAAGCTTCACTGCCAGTCCAACTAATCAAAATTTCTACAAAATATGAATCAAAATAAGAAACTTTAGTAGTATTTACGCACTTGAAAGATAAAACAATAACATACATTAGAATCCAACCAAATTAAGAATAATTTATCATGAATATGAAAATTTTCTACGCTATTAATTTCTTCAAATCTACAACATAAAACCAGTAATATAAAAAGTTACTGCATAATTAATTAAAACATGAAACATCAGCAGATAATCAAACAATCATTCAATAGGTAAAGCTAAAAATTAAATATAATGCCACATCCATACCCACCTCGAATTTTTTGAATAAGAATGAAAATAAATCACAGCAATTAAAACTAAACCACACCTCAAGAACAGTACATTCTCCATTAATGCCACGAATGAAGACCCAATTATGCAACTTTTCCAGTTCTAAAGACAAGAAAATAGTGTCGTGTGGAATAGGTTTGTCTCAGATTTCTCAAAAAATAGCTGAATTTATAAATATTTCGAAGAGGCATGCGGTCTCGGATTTCTCAGGTGTCGGTAGAAAACACTTACAGAATGATAAAATAGTGTTGTGCTTTATTGGAAGCATAATGCCCCAAGGATAAGATAATGGAGCATGTTTTGTCTTGAGGTCCAATTATTTTACATTTTCTCTGTTTTCAAATCATTTTTAATTTTTAATGTTCAAAAATACTGAAATAGGTTTACTTATCTATTTTTAAAAACGAATTTTCAAAAACGAGTTTAAAATTTACAAAGAAAACGAAAAACGTCAAAAAAGTCGTTTTGACTGTTTTCAATTAAAATCAAGTCAAAACTTTATTTTTTAATTTTGAAAATAATTTTTCAAAATGACAAAAAGAACTCGTTTTCAACAATCTCAAAATAAACACTGAAAACACAAAACTCAAATTGAATTCAAAACTCAACTAAAAATTGAAACACGAAAAGAACATCCAAGAAGCTCAAAATTATGTTATCTCGGTAACAAGATCAATTACACAATGTTTGGCTAAGCTTAAGAGTTCTTTTTACTTATTTTTGAATAACTTTAAGTCATTTTATCCATGGATGAATAAAACACTCCTGCCTTGCCCCATCCTCTATTACTCGGTCAAAGAAATCGAGTTGGAACGAAGAACATGGTCTCTCTTCATTGTCTTCAACTCCCTCTCGAATTTTATTTTTTATTTTGTTTTAAAATTTAAATTTTATGTATGAAAATACAGTAAACTAAAATGCTGGTAACATTTCTTCTTTTCTTAGAATTTTTAGAAGCAACCAAATTCTAGAAAAGTAACTGCCTGTTTCTACTTTAATTAATTAAAAAAAAATGGTGTTTTGAAACTGTTCAATGTTCAGTTAAGTCACTATCAGTCGTGCATGTCTACATACATGTGATCTCAATAATTCAGGCTCTCTTCTCTTTATCGTTTTTAAGTCATTTTCTGTTTTCACTTTTTCAAAACAGTGAAAACGTGTTCTCTTACCTATTTTCGAAAATAAGTTTTTGAAAATGAAAAAAAAAAAAATACACTGAAAATGAAAAATGACAAAAACACTGTTTTGGGAAAACTAACCACAAAACAAGGTCAAAAGACAGAACACGAGAAAAGCACTTCCTTCTCACCTATCCTCTCTCTCTCTCTCTCTCTCCCCCCTCCCGTAACGAAGTTCAGTTCTCTCTCTCGCAAACCTACAAGCCAACATTCCTATTGAGCTCGTGTTGCCGAATCCTAGGGTTCTCTACGGGATCTTCAAATCAAGGTTTTGAGCTCGTCTTGCCAAATCGAAGGCTTCTTTACGGCTATCAAATAGTTTTGTAAGTTTCTCATAACCTCCGCTCCAAAATCTTGGTGAGTTATATTCCTTGAATCTATATAGACACGTGAGTGTGAATCTATGTAGTTATTTGACTTATGGGGATGTTATATGGGATATTGCCTTTTTGTGTATTTTTAATGCTTGCTTCACTGATAGTTTCAGATCTTTTAGTTGATGAATATCTTGACTTCTGGGTCTGTGTTGTTGATTTTTTTTTT